TTAAGTTTACGTTATAGTCCCCCCAATGGATTGAAAGAAACTAAGTACAAGTATGACATTGGGTTGTTTGTGGAATTCAAATCAGCACAGTGACCAACGTAAACATTGTTAAAGTTTGTGGAAGTGGAAAATATCTGAAGTGGAAGATTAAATACGTTTGGTTTCACTCTCTCACATAATCACACTCTCACGGACCCACCAGCTCACATCTTAATTACTGAGGCTTGATGGGTACTTAACCTTGCCCCTTGCTGCTTATGCAAATGCAGAGAGGTCAGGGATGTGCTGATTGGCTGGCTCGCTGTCAACTCAGCCAGAAAACTGTCGGGAGTGCAGATGTGAAGGTGAGGGAGGAGAAGAGACTGAAGTGGAAGGAAAAGGGAAATATGGGAAAGTAAAAAGAGAGAAAAAGCAGGGATGTGAGGAACGAAAAATAATCTTATACTGTATTGGACTTTAATGCAATTGTCTTGTGTTTGAAACAACAGGAGCATTTATTCTAACACATGTTATTGTGTTAATCATGGCACACAACAAAAAACAAGGTAGGCATTTTACACAACCTTTCCTCACTTCTCTTATCAGTATGACCTCATCCTTTAAGCAACATGTTTGCTAAGAAGCATATGGCCAGCTCTGTGTGTGTGTGTGTGTGTGTGTGTGTGTGTGTGTGTGTGTGTGTGTGTGTGTGTGTGTGAGATGAGCTCATCCTCTTCCCCCCCTATGTAGTTATCTCTATATGGCTGATGGTGTTTAGCAGCAGGGAGAGTCATTGAGAGGACACACACACACACACACACACACACACACACACACACACACACACACACACACACTTCACAGCTGCTAGCCTATTTGGATGTTTCTCCACCTGACAACATATGTGCTTCATTAGATGAGGTTCCAGGTCTTCCTGAAAGGCTCAAAACTTAAAAATACACATAGGGTGTTTTTTCTATAGGGTGTTTTTTCTATTCTGTTAATTGTTATCATTCATGAGGAAATAGAACAAAAGAGCCCTGTGCTCACAACAATGAAATTCCCTTAACTAGAAGCTCCAGTACCTATGAACACATTGACACAATTCATCAGGACTTGTGCATAACGAAAATAATAACCACTTAATATAAAAATAAGAAATAAAACGGCTTTTTGGGATGTGAAACATTTGTGGCAGTTGCGATCAGCTTGGTGTCTCATTTATATGATGATGTCTCTACTTTTCCCACACAGTGGTGAAAGGCGCTATATAAGACCGCCATAACCCACAAAGTAATGGCCTTTCTTTCACTTCAAGTTTTGTTCTGAGAAAGTTGAAGAGGCCATTATATAGGTCATGTTATGTGTTGCATCTTAATCACTTGAGTTATTTTAATGTCATATTTACAGCACAGGGCTTCTTCAAGTCAACCTGATCAATTCAGTTGGACATTTAGTCCGGTCTAATTTGACTGATTCACTGTGTCCACTCAGCTGTTAAAAACCAGTGTGTACAGCACTTCTCCCTACTATACATACACAGCACAGAGGTCATGCATGTATGTATGGACCTCTGCTTGCTTTTGCCTCTCTAACCCTTGGTATGTGTATGTACAGTATGTTCGGAGCATGTGGGTGTTCGGACCCTGCGTGTGGGTGCGTGTGTGTGGTCTTGAGGCTATGGAGGGCAGTAACACAGAGTTGACAGGCGGCCGCAGAGATTTAGGTCGAGGTGCCAAGGAAGCCAAGGAAACAAGTGTGTACACACACACACACACACACACACACACACACACACACACACACACACACACACACACACACACACACACACACACACACACACACACCGTCCTCAGATCTCGGGGGGCATCTGCTCTGGTCCGGGTCACTGGCATCGTGCGCTCAATCGGGCTCAAAAGTATCGCCACGGCAACGGCATCGCATAATCCCATTCCATCTCATCCCATCCACAAACTGTGTGCGACGTGATTGGCCTGTTCCCCCTGGGGCGCCGAGGCGACGGCTCAGGCGCTGTCTGCTTACTCGCTGTGTCAGCTCCGGCTCTGAGTCTGTGGGCGGGGAGCGAGGAGCGCATTAAAGGAGCGTTTGGCGCTTTTTTGGCAAGAGACGGTGTGAATTATGCAGACACACCCCTACTGTGTGTGTGCAGTGCTGCCAGTGTGAGTCCTTCATGTGTAAAGTGTGTGGAAGATACGCTACTCTAAGAAGACATTATCCCTTTTTTTGTCTGATTCTTGTTTTACCCAGTTTTAAAAGTTTACATCTTTATCCACTTTTGATTATTTACTAGTATCATCATATGATGCTTTCACATTCCTACCCGCCTCTGTCTGTATGTAAAGTATCTCTAAACACCAGAAAAACAGTCAGGTTGGCATGAACATAATTTGTTTGTTGTAAAAAGTTAATGGGTAAAACCAGTGAATGTGCAATTAAACATTGCATAGCTGATAATTAACAAGCGCTGTTTATCTGAATGTGGTGTTAAAACTGTTTAGTATGCAGTGAGGGATCATATCCAACAGGCTGTCTTCTTTTTTCGTGTTTTGTCTTTTTTGGCATCTTAAGTCATTTGTTGTTACCTTCTCAACACATGTTTGCCAAGAGAGGGTTAGAGTGAGCAGTAAAGATGAGACAATTCACTAAAATAACCCTGAATAATATAAATGGCTCTGAATAATCAACACAATCATTAAACAAACACTATATTTCTGCCTTCATTCATTCAAATGTGAGTTGTCTACTTTCCTTTTCTCTCTCCCTCACTCTGCTCTATCGCACACCTTCTCCACCTCCTCCACCGTCACTATCTCTTTGTTTTTCTGGAGAATACAAACATAGTCTGAATTAAAACACAACTGACAGTTTGCATCCAGTTTCACTGCTCCTCCTCTGTCCTCCTCCCACGATTCCTCCCTCCCTCACAGCCAAC